CAGACATACATACATACAGACAGACTGAAGGAAACTCTAAAGTTATTTTTTCAAACATCCCTGTTACCAAAATAAAACATATTTAAATGCAAAATTCTTAAAGAGAAGATAACTCTTGAAATAAAGATGTTAGATTTATGAACATTGTCATATATGATGTGAGTTTTACTTCAAGTTTAAAGGAATGAAGAAGTTGGAGTAAAAAATACCAATTTCTGGAAAAAAATCTAAGTTCAAGGGGGACATAATTCTCAAAATAGTCTTGCTAGAGTATTTAACCGTCTCAAAAATGTTGAGTGATAATAAGAAACATATTTATGAAGTTTGAAGTAGATACATTCAGAAATAAAGAAGTTATTTAAAAAAGACAACATTTTTTTCATAAAAATTCAAAGTTCAAGGGAGATAATTCTGATAATTTTTGTGCGAGAGTTGTAAACCTTGTCACATATGATGTGGTTGATGACCAGAAACTTATATTTAAAGTTTGAAGTAAACACCTTAAGAAATAAAGAACTTATAGCGAAAAAGCTTAAAAATTTAAATCAGAAATCTTGAAATTCAGTCTATTTGTTGCCATAGCAACCAGAATTTTCAACATAAAAAGAAAAGAAAAAGATGTGCATAATCTCCATTGCAGACTGCCATCTACCCATATTTTAAGTTTCATAAAAATATTTTCAGTACTTTTTGAGATATCACTGGATCCAGTTTATGTGTTAAATTTGCCATATTTTCAGAATATTAGTTGCCATAGCAACCAGAATTTTCAACATAGGAAGAAAATAAAAAGATGTGCATAATCTCCATACTGCCATCTATCCATATATCAAGTTTCATTAAAATATTTTCAGTACTTTTTGAGTTATCACTGGATCCAGTTTATGTGTTAAATTTGCTATATTTTCAGACTATTAGTTGCCATAGCAACCAGAATTTTCAACATAGGAAGAAAAGAAAAAGACGTGCATAATCTCCATACTGCCATCTATCCATATATCAAGTCTCATTAAAATATTTTCAGTCCTTTTTGCGTTATCGCGGGATCCAGTTTTGTGGACGGACGGACTGACTGACGGACTGACAGACAGACAGACGGACGTTCCTACGAATGGTCATTTATTGGGTACTTTTTTTGTTTAAAAGTACCCAATAAGAGAACAAAAGTACCCAACAATACTGACGAAATGAATAGAATTACCCAACAAGTGTCCTCTCATGTGTTCAAGATACCCAACAAGTGTCCTCGCATTTGCCCGGACAGACAGACAGACGGACGGTAAACCTAAAGTCCTCTCCGGTTAAACCGGTAGGGGACTAATTAAGTAATATGGTAAAAATACCATGGATAATTACCATAATTATTGTTCCATTTTCACTTACATTTATTGAGGTGAATAACACATGTTTACATGTATAATTTTAGAAATCATATCACGGGAGGTGATATTTACATAAATACTGAATGTCATCCCTTAATACTTCACAAATAGTTAACAAAATACCTGTTTCAACGAAGCACTTCGATAATTGTATTCATCTTCACTTCTTTGTTTTGAAATACGAGTTTATGTTACAAAATTTCTCAATTTCCTTGTTCAAGGCTGCCATTTTGTCCTACTTCCGGTTTAGTTTTGTTTATAGGTCAGATTGATACAGATGTTTTCTGAGGCAAAAATGTTGACTCAGGACTGATTGATATACATTATTTGATGATATGAATTGTATGTTTATGATCAGAATGAAATATTATGACATAAAACGTTCAGTAAATTCAGTAAGACCGGTGTACACAATGTTGAAATATATGATTTTTCCCGCAAACCGGAAGGAAGAATTTAAGTAATATCTGTACTATAAATTAAACTTTTATCTTAATCTGCTATTTTTTGTGAAAAAAATACAACATTTTTTGTTCACTTTCGTTTCTTTGTGCAAGATCTTACACAATAAAATGTGCAAGTCAATGTCAAGAACCAAAATATATTACATTGTATTTCGGAAATGACACAGTCTCCTTTCTGATGGTGTTACGAAATTAATGGAAGAAACCATTATTGAATGGGGAAATCAACTTCACTGTAGCTCTGAAATTTGGGCTATTCTGATGACTTTGTTTTAAATTAACATTCACATTCAACAACATTTTCATCCTCATAACAATGTCTGCTGAGACAAAAATACAAGATACACATTCTCAATTTATCCCTACAAAGACAGTCTATATAATCTTGCAATAAAAAAACCCTTTAACCCCCAAAACAGAGACCAATTTTCAACTCTAGACCATAATTTGAATATACTTTGCAGAAACCAACAAGCTAATGCCTTGTGAGAAATCTAAGCTCTAGCCCTTTCCATTTTGAAGTATAAGAACTTTTAAGTTTTTCTTTTAGTTGCCATAGCAACCAGAGTTTAGCATGGAATGGCATTCTTTGAACAATCTTGATAGAGCTTCATACAAAGAGTATTCCTGCCAAGTTTCATTAATATTGGCCAAGTGATATTATAGAAGATGTAGTTTGAATAAAATGTGGACGGACGCCGGACGCATTTGATTGGCCCCTGCACTATGTGCAAGGTGAGCTAAAAATGTTGGATCGTGAAATTGGCGTAAATATGTACATAAAACGAAGTGTCTCATAAGCCTCAGACGCTGGCCTATGAGTGATAATAAGATTAATTAACAAACTTTTTACATATTCATAAAACATAACCATTTATGATAATTAATGTAATTGTAAAATGGACAGCAAATTTTAAAATCAAAGAAGCAGTATTGATCAACATTTTTCATTAATGATTACTTGTCCATATATAATCAGGTAAGGGAAGACAGAGGAGATGGTGGACTAGAGATGGGCTTTTACGAAGACCCCTTCATGTTTAGTATGAGGCTCTCATGGCCGAACTTGTTGAGGATCTGGCGTCATTCAAGAAATTCACTATAATCGACCTGTATGTATCGGGGGTCGGAGGCGATGAGGCCGAATCCTTTCTGCCCAAATCACTGAACTCTGCAATTCGTTTTCTAGGTGTTCTTTTTGTGCGAGTCATTTTGAAAATGAGCATGCAAGAGGTTGTGGACGGATATAATAGGACGGTATAGATCCGTGGCAATTCGAGCAAACATTTGATATTTATGAGCTTCATTCCGTAGTTAAATAAAGAACAAAAACTCATAAAATTCATATTGTGAGCTATTTTTTGTTATTATGAGCTTATAGATTTATGCCCAGGTGTAGTTTATGAGCTTATTTTAATATCTAAGCTCTAGCCCTTTCCATTTTGAAGTATAAGAACTTTTAAGTGTTTTCTTTTAGTTGCCATACTAACCAAAGTTTAGCATGGAATGGAATTCTTTGAACAATCTTGATAGAGCTTCATACAAAGAGTATTCCTGCCAAGTTTCATTAACATTGGCCTTGTGGTATCATAGAAGATGTCGTTTGAATAAAATGTAAAACGGACGACGGACGCAAATGATGGGCCATCCTAATAGCTCAACTGCACTATGTGCAAGGTGAGCTAATAAATCCACAAGCAAAACCCATGGTTCACAAATACACAAGTTCCATGACCCTAGTTCAAATACATTTTGAGCTATGTGGGACACAAATTGAAAATTGCAAATTTTTACCAAGTCAAGGGCAATATCTCTGACAAAACAGAATTATTCTACAAGCAAAACACCAGGTGCACAACTTCATATACTGATCAATATTCCTGTAAAGTTTCATGACCCTAGGTCAAATACTTTTTGAGCTTTGCAGGACACAAATTACACATTGCAAATTTCAAGTCAAGGGCAATAACTATACAAATACTGAATAAATCCACAAGCAAACCCCCGATGCAGAACTACACATGCTGACCAACATTCCTGCTAAGTTTCAAGACTCTAGTTTAATACTTTTTGAGCTATGCATGACACAATTTGAAAATTGCAAATTTTCACTAAATCAAGGGCAGTAACTTAACTTTACTTTATGTAAAGCTGATGAGCCCCAATATGGGGCCCTTTTTGACCCTAGGGGCATAATTTGAACAATCTTTGTAGAGGCCCACTTGGTGATGTTACATTTCAAATATCAAAGCTCTAGGCCTTGTGGTTTTTGACAAGAAGATTTTCACTATATAACTTTATATTAAACTGATAAGCCCCCTTGCAGGGCCCCTTTTCATTCTAGGTGCATAATTTGAACAATCTTTGTAGAAGACCACTAGATCATGTTACATTCTAAATATCAAGGCTCTACACCTTCTGGTTTTTGACAAGCAGATTTTAGAATTTTGTTAAAAAAGACTCTTTTGGTTGCCATATCAACCGAGGAATTTAATTCTTTTAACAACTTTGGTAGAGCTTCATGCAAGAAACATGCCGGCCAAGTTTCATAAAATTTGGCAAAGCGGTATTGGAGAAGTCATTTGAAGAAAAAAATAACGCACAAACGGACTGACTCACTGACGACAGACAACATGGTGTCCCAAAAGCTCACCTTGTCACTTTGTGACAGGTGAGCTAATAAATCCACAAGTGAAACTGAAGCTGCACAATTTCACATGCTGACCAACATTTCTGTAAAGTTTCAGGACTCTATGTCAAACACTTTTTGAGCTATGTGCAATACAAGTTGAAAATTGCAAATTTTTACTAAGTCAAGGGCATTAACTCTACAAATACTGAATAAATCCATATGCAAAGCCAGTAGCACAACTTCACATGCTTACTAACATTCCTGTAAAGTTTCATGATCTAGGTCAAATACTTTTTGAGCTACATGCGACACAACGTGAGAATGGACGGACGGACATTCTTTCTGAGTTGACATTATGGGGTTTTTTCTTTCATTTTCTATGTTGTGGGGGGCACAAAAATGTAGTGTTACCTATTGTTCTCCTAGTCACACAAGTATCTCTGTGTCTGTATGAAAGGGCGGATGTTCAAGGGCATCCCTAAAGTGGGGACACAAAAAATGTAACAATACATAGTTAACAACTTTGTACCTGCTAAAATGGCTTTATGAGCCTGAAATTCTCTACCTCCTACACATAATGTAACATCACTAAAAGAAGTTCTTTCATACAGACTGCCCATATCTTCACTAAGACGACACTCTGGCACTTTGACTGGTGTACAGTTAGACTGGCCCGATACATTCACTGTGTCTCCAACAACACTAACCTGTAACACAAAAATTTACAAAAATAATATATTTTGGTATGAACAAATCAATTTATGTAAGCATATAGTAAACAGATAATCAATTACTCAAATTGTTTCCTATGTATAAACAAGAGGGCCATGATGACCCTTATATCTATTACCTGATTAAGAAGGCTCAATCCTATTTCATTTGGGCTGTGTGACCTAGTTTTTGACCACAGACGACCCATATTTAAACTTGACCTAGAAATCACCAAAACAACCTTTCTGACCAATTTTCAAGTTACTTGGATCACAACAGTAGCCTCTAAGGTGTAAACAAGGTTTTCCAATATTTAGGCTGTGTGACCTAGTTTTTGACCACAGATGATCCATATTCGAACTTGACAAAGAAATCATGATTTCAATGATCTTGTTGACCAATTTCCAGGATATTTGGTTCAAAACAAAAGACTCTACAGTGTTAGCAAGGGTTTTCTATATTTGGGCTGTGTGACCTAGTTTTTGACCCCAGATGACTAATATTCAAACTTGACCTAGAAATCAATAAAACAACCTATTGACCAATTTCCAGGATATTTGGATCAAAACAGTAGCCTCTAGAGCGTCAGCTAGATTTTTCAATATTTGGCTGTGTTACCTAGTTTTTCACCCCAGTTGACCCATATTCAAGCTGGACCTAGAAATCATCAAAACAACCTTTCTGGCCACTTCACAGGATATTGGGATCAAAACAATAGCCTCTAGAGTGTTAACAAGATTTTTCTATTTTTAGCTCCTGTAACCTAGTTACTCATTCAAGCAATTATATAGACAAGCATCCTGACCAATCTAAATTTCAAGTCTGTAGGTCAAAAAACAAGGTTAAATGATATAAAAAATATCAAAATTCGGTCCACTGATATCAAAATTCAATTCAGCATTTGGTTCAAATTTCATGTCTTTACGTCAAACTGCCAGAAAGTAGGTCAAATGATATCAAAAGTAGGTCAGCTGCTATCAAAAATAAATTCAGCATCAGTAATTACACCCCTGGTCCAAAGTTCAAGTCTATATTAATGCTCACCATGACAATGAAAAAGTAATATTGTAAACAGTATAAAGAAAAGCAGATAGAAAATCTAAATCTTAAACTGATATCGCAAAGTTTTTACCATACTGTATACATAAAAGGAAAATCAATGTTCCCCGGGGCAGGGCCAATTTTGACAGGAGGGCTATAATTTGAAAAAAAATTGTAGAGGTCCAAGAGCATCAGATTTATGATATAAAACCATAAACAAGTTGTGTTACAGGGTCTTGACATAGGACATGACTGCAGTTTAAATTGCATTACAGAAGTTACACAATGTAATTACATGTATTACAGGATAATTACAACTTACCGATAGCTTTGTCTATTTAGCAATTAAAAATGTGTATTCCTGCATTCACTTTGGTAAATTATAGTATTTACAACTACAGCTATTTGCTTGTTAATACATTTAAGAAATACAGTGATTAATATCAAATGAGGTGGTGGTGGTGGGGTGTGTTGTTTTCACTCCGGATCACAGCAGTAAGCCACATTGAATTCACCAGAGCACAGTTCAACCACCGCATCGTTCCTGGGCAGGCTGTCAAGCAGTTTACAAGTACTAGTTGCCTTCACTTTCGCAAAGAACTGAAACTTCTGTACATGCCAGAGCAGAGGTATGAATGACCGTAGAAAGGATTTCATGATCAATCACAATGAAAGTGACCTGCGCCGTCCGGGAATCGATCCAGGGTCGCCGGATCCACAGTCCAACGCGCTACCTATTGAGCTAACCGGACACAGGGCTCTACAAATTTTTTTGGAATAGAGTTGTCCAGGACAATTGACCTAGCAAAATAGAGTTGTCCCAAAATTGACCACAAGTGTCCAAGTATTGGTAAATGTTCAGTATGCGTAATATGTAAGAAGAAGTAAAAACAATTAATTTTTTAATATTTTTAAGTTACATTTTGTTTTTCATTTAGTATAAAATAGAACATTTTGTTTCAACTGAAATAGTTTTGATTGTTCAGCACTCATCCCAGGTACCTTTCAGCACTGTTCAAGTTCAATAGCCTGTGTAGGCCTATATGTTTTCTTTCAGTTTTATTTTTTTTCCTGAATTTTTATCCTTAATCTTGAAAATTTTAGTAAAATTATTCTAACATGAATCTAGTTAGCCATAGCCTCTCTCAGTTTCCACATTTCACATTGGACATGGTAAATAAGACAAGAGGGCCATGATGGCCCTAGATCGCTCACCTGACTTATCAAACTCATCCAAACAATTACCTAGACAAGCATTCTGACCAAGTCTCATGACAGGTGAGTCAAAAATGTGACCACTACAGTGTTAACAAGGATTATCCATATTTGAGCAGTGCGACCTAGTTTTTTACCCAGGTGACACATATTCAAACTTGACCTAGAAATCATCAAAACAAACTTTCAGACCAATTTCCAGGATACTTGGATCAAAACAGTAGCAACTAGAGTGTTAACAAGATTTTTCTATTTTTAGCTCCGGTGACCTAGTTTCACATGCGATTTCGAACTCATCCAAGCAATTACCTAGACAAGCATCCTGACCAAGTTTGATGATAATTGAGTCGAAAATGTGACCACTAGAATGTTAACAAGGTTTTTCCATATTTGGGCGGTGTGACCTAGTTTTTCATCCAAGATGACCCATGTTCGATCTTGACTTCAGGGACTGCGTTCAGGGCGAAGTCAGGCGAAAACTTCGCCGTAAATATTTTCACTTCGCCCTATATGATCTGAAAAGCGAAATTCTAGTCGCCCTAAAATCTCTATGAAATGTCTGACATGTATATTTCTCCACTCACTTCTCCCTAAATTTTCAGTCCAAGGTAGTCCCTGGACTTAGAAATCATCAAAACAAACTTTCAGACCAATTAACAGAATATTTGGATCACAACAGTAGCCACTAGAGTGTTAACAAGATTTTTCTATTTTTAGCTCTTGTGACCTAGTTTTTCATCCGAGATGTCCCATGTTCGATTTATTCCCAGCAATGACCTAGACAACTTTCTTGACCAAGTTTGATGACAATTGAGTCAAAATTGTGACCACTAGAGTGTTAACAAGGTTTTTCTATTTTTAGCTCCTGTGACCTAGTTTTTCATCCGAGATGACCCATGTTCGAACTCATCCGAGCTATCACCTAAACAAGCATCTTTATCAAGTTTGATGATGATTGATGCAAAAATGTGACCGCTAGAGTTTTAACAAGGTTTTTCTATTTTTAGCTCCGGTGACCTACTTTTTCATCCGAGATGACCCATGTTCGAACTCATTCGAGCTATCAACTAGATAAGCATCCTGACCAAGTTTAATGATGATTGATGCAAAAATGTGACCGCTAGAGTGTTAACAAGGTTTTTCTATTTATAGCTCCGGTGACCTAGTTTTTCATCTGAGATGATCCATATTCGAACTCATCCGAGCTATTATCTAAACAAGCATACTGACAAAGTTTGATGATGATTGGGTAAAAAATGTGACCACTAGAGTGTTCACAAGGTTTTTCTATTTTTAGCTCCTGTGACCTAGTTTTTCATCAGAGATGACCCATGTTCAAACTCATCCAAGCAATTGATTAGACAAGCATTCTGACCAAGTTTGATGATGATTGGTTCAAAAATGTGACCACTAGAGTGTTCACAAGGTTTTTCTATATATAGCTCCTGTGACCTACTTTTTCATGACCCATGTTTGTACTCATCCGAGCTATCACCTAGACAAACATCCAAACCAAGTTTGATGATGATTGGGTCAAAAATGTGACCTCTAGAGTGTTCACAAGGTTTTTCTATTTTTAGCTCTTTTGACCTAGTTTTCCATCTGAAATGACCCAGTTTCGAACTCATCCGAGCAATTGACTAAACAAGCATCCTGACAAAGTTTGATGATGATTGAGTCATAAGTGTGACCACTAGTGTGTTCACAAGCAATTGTGGACGTACCACGGACGACGGACATTCACCGATCCTAATAGCTCACCCTGAGCAAGCTCAGGTGAGCTAAAAAAGACAGTCATTATTACCCGGTAGGGAAATATAAAATATGATAGTGAATTAGACTATTCAAATACTTACAAATCTCATCATTATTTATCTTAACATTGTCAAAAGTCCTTTTGATTCATAAGTAATAAAAGATTTTTAATATTTCTACTTGCTGCAGAGCTTTAAACTGATTAAAACTGCCTCACGATTTATATCAAAAAAATCGGCATCGCGAAAATATGTGACAAATGAAAATTTTTCTGTTTTCCTCTTAAATTATACTATTTTTTTAAGGTTTAAGGTCTCTATGTCAAATCCTTTTGAGTTACATGTGACACAAGTTTGAAAATTGCAAAAATTTTCTAAGTCAAGGGAAATAACTCTAAAAAAACTAAATAAATCCAGACGAAAGTACCCAGGTGCACAACTACACATGCTGATCAATATTCCTGTAAAGTTTCATAACTCTATGTCAAATCCTTTTTGAGTTACATGCGACACAAGTTGAAAATTGCAAAATTTTACTAAGTCAAGGGCAATAACTCTAAAACTAGAAATGTGTCCATAGGACACGGATGCCCCCACACGCCACTGTTCTGTCAATCTTATGACTCTAGGTCAAATATTTTTTGGACTACATGTGCCACAAGTTGAAAACTAAAAATCAACAAAGGGCCATAATTCTGTTAAATTTGGTCGCAGCAAAAATTCCTTCCTTTACTACCATCTACACATTAAGGTTGTTAATCCCTGGAAGTTTAAGCAAAATCTGCCATCCGGTTTAAGAGGAGTTGCGTTCACAAAATTTCTACATAGTATATAATGAAAAAATCAACAAAGGGCCATAATTCTGTTAAATTTGGTCGCAGCGAAAATTCCTTCCTTTACTACCATCTACACATTAAGGTTGTTCATCCCTGTAAGTTTAAGCAAAATCTGCCATCCGGTTTAAGAGGAGTTGCATTCACAAAATTTCTACATAGTATATAGTGAAAAAATCAACAAAGGGCCATAATTCTCTTAAATTTGGTCGCAGCAAAAATTCCTTCCTTTACTACCATCTACATATTAAGGTTGTTCATCCCTGGAAGTTTAAGCAAAATCTGCCATCCGGTTTAAGAGGAGTTGCATTCACAAAATTTCTACATAGTATATAGTGAAAAAATCAACAAAGGGCCATAATTCTGTAAAATTTGGTCACAACGAAAATTCCTTCCTTTACTACCATCTACACATTAAGGTTGTTCATCCCTGTAAGTTTAAGCAAAATCTGCCATCCGGTTTAAAAGGAGTTGCGTTCACAAAATTTCTACATAGTATATAGTGAAAAAATCAACAAAGGGCCATAATTCTCTTAAATTTGGTCGCAGCAAAAATTCCTTCCTTTACTACCATCTACACATTAAGGTTGTTCATCCCTGTAAGTTTAAGCAAAATCTGCCATCCGGTTTAAGAGGAGTTGCGTTCACAAAATTTCTACATAGTATCTAGTGAAAAAATCAACAAAGGGCCATAATTCTGTTAAATTTGGTCGCAGCGAAAATTCCTTCCTTTACTACCATCTACACATTAAGGTTGTTCATCCCTGTAAGTTTAAGCAAAATCTGCCATCCGGTTTAAGAGGAGTTGCGTTCACAAGATTTCGGGACGTACGGACGGACTGACGGACGGACAAGTGCAACGCTATATGCTCCCACATTGTGGGGGCATAAAAACTAAATCATTACGTTGCTCCGTCCGTGAATTTGACGTTGTTTTGCAACACAAAATTTACGCACCTTCATTGCCTATAATTGTCGTAAGCAAGCTGTTTATTTGCGTATGACATCATAAGTTACACTAAATATCATGTAATAGTATCCTATGATGTCACAAAATTAAAACGAGAGTTTGCGTAAAATTACAACTTTTAGCAACTTATTATTCGAGTAGCTGTCGTCATGAAATCAAAGTGCTCTGTGATTCGTTGATCATGTTGCCATGGTGATCGGCCCGTTGCGAATATTTCTTTTATCATGTTTATTAATTTAGAAATATGTAGCATATAAATATTTTAGCAAAATATTCAATTATCATATTGATATGACTGCTTATAATAGATTTATAGCCTTGTCTACAAACTTTACGGACAGCCCTCGTATTTTTTTCCCATTAGATATTTAACATAGGATAAAATACATTTTGGATATAATATACAAGTACATATATACCTCACAGAATATGGTTAATTTATCATCTGGGAGAAGTCCATTGACATCATCCATTAAAAAATCACGCCGTATAAACTTCTTGAAACCCCAGTCTTTGCCTTGAACAAATCTATATGCTCTTTGGCTTTCTGCAACAATAAATATCATATATTTGATACATAGTAAGAACATAAACTCCAAATACCAACAATTTATTTATAAATCATGTTTTAGTTACATAAATTTCACTTTAATTCTCATCTTTTACTGACCTAAAGTTCACTTTAATTCCTGTATTTTCATGAATATCAGTATATTTTCACAGTAGAAAGTGGTGTTTCATTTTTGAAAATAAATAAATGCTTAAAGTGACATTAAGCTCATCCAAGGGTATATAGTGAGTGAGCGGGTGAAGATCATAATAAGTTTTCAGTTTGCCATTATTCCTTTTAATTTAATAATTCAGTTTGCATTAACAATAAATAACGAAAAGATCCAACCGAAATTTCTGTTAATATCCATTAGAATTTACCTTAACACTTAGTTTATAAAAATAGTGGGGCAGTCTTTTTAAATTCTAGGCAGATTTATAATTTCATACTAAACATTTTCCAATATTAACTGTTGGTCAAACACCATTTTGACAATCAATCTTTTGAAATATAAAGTCAATTCAGCTCAACTTGACTATAAAAATATGAGCATAATGTCACTTTAATATAACATCTGTAGAGGTCAACAAGGCACCCATAGAGATGTGTCAAATATGACCCCAGAGAATTTTTGTAGAGGACTGTAAGGTCAAGCCATATAACTAATATAAGGTCTGAGTATTGTAGAATTAAAAGATATATATTTATTTTAAAGTCTATTTATAGCACCTGTAACCTTAACTTAAGCATCATCTTTTTGTAGAGGGCCACAGAAGAATAATTTGTGCGAAGATTGATCAAAACATTGGCAAGAATTTGGCAAGACATTACAAGGTTTTTTTTGTACAATTTTATAACAGATAATCAGTTATATTACTGATAAAAAAACTTTTCAAAAACTTGACAAAAAATTCCAATAAGAAGCTCAACAAGAGCCACCGCCGGGCAGGGGACTTTTTACTTTTTCTAAAAGCAAACAAGGAAATGTTTCTTTCCTTTTTATAAATTTAATTGGTCTGTCTTGTCAAATTAGTTTTGTCAAAGTATGAATCCTTTCCATATATATCCGCATGTGTATTACAGAAGAAAAAGCAAGAACGTGTTTGTTAAACACAAATGCCCCCGGCTCAGATTCTTGTCAGTAACAATAATTAAAATAAAGGCTGTATGGGCAAAAGTGTAAAAAATCTATTTTTAGCACTGGTGACCTTGACCCAACTGACCCCTAACTCCATCCAAAGGAAGAATATCATGCAACTTATTTTCCTACCAAATATGAAATAAATCTGTCAATATATAAAGGCTGTATGGACAAAAGTGTAAAATTCTATTTTAAGCACTGCTGACCTTGACCCAACTGACCCCTAACTCCATCCAAAGGAAGAATATCATGTAAGTTATCTTCCTACCAATTTTAATACAAATATGTCAATAAATAAAGGCTGTATGAGCAAAAGTGTAAAAATCTATTTTTAGCACTGTTGACCTTGACCCAACTGACCCCTACCTCCATCCAAATGAGAATACCTCAATTTTATGTTCCTACAAAATATACAAGACATCTGTCGATAGAATAAGGTTAATACACCTGTAAAAGTGTAAAAAATCTATTTTTGACATTGGTGACCTTGACCCAAATGACCCCTTACTAAAGGAAAAGGAAGAGGACCTCCCTTGGTATGACTATTATAAACATGAAAGACATTAACTTAAAAATAAAGGCTGTATGAGCAGAAATGTTTAGATTTATTTTTTTACACAAGTGACCTTGACCTAGAGACGCCTAACGCCACAAAAAATTAGAGGACCGTTAAAGGTATCCACCTACCAAATATGAAAGAAATCATTAAATAAATTAAGTAATTAGGTGAAATTTTTTGATAAATCCAACTTGGCAGAATAGGTTAACCATACAAGGCCCTATTTTCAGTGATAAAAAGGGAAATTACTGGGAAAATGGATGGCACATTATATAACTTGACAATATCATGTACATTGTATTGATAAGTAAGTGTGAAAATTATTAAGCCATTAGTTCAGATAGAACATAAGATATTTCCAACTTGCCGGTTAAGGTTAACCATTATTCATTTTTAAGTGCTGAAAAGGGCCATAACTTGGTGCAAATGGAAGCCATAGTTATGTAACTTGCCCAGATCATATACTTTGTATGGATTAGTAAGTGTGTAAATTATGAAGCCAGTGGTACAGGTAGAACTTAAGAAAAATCCAACTTGCCGTTCTAGGTTAACCTCATATGGACAGACGGACAGACGTTCCAACATTTTGGGTTTATAGGGGCTATTTTCTTTGTTATTTTCTTTGTTTTCTTAAGGGCTACTAGCCCATAAACCCTTTGATCACGGAATGAACATATTGTTCTCTTATGTTCTCTTTACTGTTATATAGCCCCTAAACCCAAAATGTTTGCTTGGACAGACGGATGGACGGTTCAATTACTATATGCCTGGGGGCATAAAAAGAAAAATATATATATACCAGCATTTATATATATACGCATTTGTATATATATATATATATATATATACGCATTTATATATATTATATATATACACACACGCATTTATATATATACGCATTTGTATATATTACATATATATCCTTTCGACGGCCATCCGCTATACCCGTAGGACGGCCAAAGCGTAAGAAAACGTATCGAATTTTTACATTTCTGAAAGCCAATCTTATATTACGACAGACGTCTATAGCGTAGTTAAACGTATCAAAAATATACCTTCCTAGAAACCGTAGCGTAAATCAGCGTAAAACTTGAATTTTGTTTCATGCAACCCCGTAAAAACCTTGTTTTCGTACATTCTGTTTTTTTTTAATGTGTTTATGAAAATCGAAATATTACGCTATGGCTGTTCAACTGCATACGATAAACAAAAAAGCCATACCGTATAACACTGTTAATATTACGTTCAACTGCAATAAACATACTCACAATCCTTGTTTTTTAAAACAAGTTCTGAATGTTTTAAAACGGTAAATTTTACGTTATTTACCTATATAGCCCATTAGAATACCATGTTGAGTAAAAACGTCCACAACGTTTTTAAACGTAATTATTGAAAATCAATGAAAATCAATTTTTCTCAGGAAGGGTGATTGATACTATCCTTTTCAACGTGAATTTTGTAAGTTCAACTCATTTTTGTTTCAAATAAGAGAACTGCTTACAGAAACTCCGTTTGATGTATCAATAAATGCATTTTAAAATATTATACCATTTAGAAGATTTTCTTCAATTAATTTGGATATCGATTTGATTACCACATTAATTAAAAAGTGTACTGTATATATAAACATTTACTATATCTGTCAATAAAGGGCACTATACAATTAACATATTTGGTATTTTTATTTGAACAACATTTAACAGAATGAAATAAATGAATAAATAAAGGTAAACTTCAAGAATTTAGTCATTTAAAACTAAATTTTGGTGGCCTTCCTACGACAAACAGTAGTGGCTTTCAGGAAGCTTAAATTTTATACCAGTTTATTACGTTATAGCCTTCTTGTGACTATAGCGCCCGGCTTTTGAGAAGTCGATTTTCGGTATGTTTTATTACGCTATGGCCGTCGAAAGGATATATATAAAAATGAGAATATATATATACACACAAACACACATTATATATAAGCAATATATTTATATATATTCATATATACATACACACCAATAAATATATATGGTCATTTAATACACAAATCAGTGAAAATTAAGTAATTTAACCTTCAAGGTCATAAAAGAGCCCAAGTCAATTTGAGTTTGATAAAATTTTAATATCAAGGTCTTGTCCTTAACCTTTTCCCTGATATAGACATGTTGTGACGGCTTTTTGCCCCCCCCCCCCCCTCATGAGGCCTCAAACAGTGAAAAAATGCCATATTTAAGCCCCAAACACTGTTTTTCATTTTCATTATCGGCGCCACCCCCCATCCAAATGTTACATCAGGGGGTTGCCAGAAGAGGGGATGTGCCCCCTTCTGTTTCGGGGGTTTGAAGGGGGGGCGGTAGTCCCCCTCATCGCCAAGAAAATTTTGGACATGTGACAGGCTAAAAATGGCCTCAGGTTGATCTTAGGGTAACTAGTAACCGACACTGAAAAGCCTATTACTCTATCTCAATTCTTTGAGAAGTTGCAGCACTTTGAAATCAGTTTTGATGGAAAAAAACAATGCAAAATAGTGATTTTTGGCAATTTTAAGACGTCCCCCAATTGCCATGGTAACAGGAAATTTAGGATTGAGCATGCTGTTTAAGAGGCTATGGTCTAGTCAACATTTGTGCCAAGTTTCATCAGAATTGAAGCATTTTTCATAGTTTCATAGCAGTTTGAACTTGTTACAGGCGGCTTTTCAATGAAAACCGCCATTTTTCGCAATATGCTCATGGGGTAAAAGGTTAAGAATGTTCTGTTATAATATGAAGTCAATCCATTCAATAAAAGCAAAGTTACAGCCAGTTACAGCCAAAACAAGAACGTGTTTGTTAAACACAAATGCCCCTGGCTCAGAATCTTGTCAGTAGCAATATTTCAAAAAATGTTTACCCATTCACTCAGTTATGGACAGAAAAATTGCCAAAAAATTGTAAACACAAGTTATATAGCTTGACAAAGTCATGGCATTTTGTAATTGTGAAAAATATAAGTTAATATAAGTTGCCAAGTCATTGCTCTGACTTGTGAAGTTGAAAAATATTCAACTTCATGCAAGTTATCTTCCTACCAAATATGAAATACATCTGTCATTAAATAAAGGCTGTATGGGCAAAAGTGTAAAAATCTATTTTGAGCACTGGTGACCTTAACCAAACTGACCCCTAACTCTATCCAAAAGAAGAATACCATGTAAGTTATCTTCCTAGCAAATATGAAATACATCTGTCAATAAATAAAGGCTGAATGGGCAAAAGTGTAAAAATCTATTTTTAGCACTGGTGACCTTAACCAAACTGACCCCCA